TATGCAATATGCAAATAGTACAGAGTGCATAGAAACATGAAGTGGATCCGAAGACAGGAGAGGATGGGTGAGATTTCTGAGCTCAATTCCATTTGTGTGTGTGCGAGCAGGAGATGGGGGCTGCTGGTGGGAGACAGAGGAAATCAGGAGAGAAAGAAATTGGATAACTTATCAATCACTCATTGGATTTAAAGATTAGGAACAACAGGGTGGGATAATCCTGAGAGAATGACGGTAACACTGACAGAAATATGGAAGGCAAACAGTTCCAGAAAACGTTGGGCTTCTCTTTTACAACCCATCTTGGAGCACTTGGGTTTGTCTAAACTGTCCAGGGAAGGGACTGGGCTGTTTCTCGTGAGCTCATGGTAGGATTAACTGGAATTAAGAGTCCAGAATTGTCAAAAAGGGGGAGCAAGAAGTTGGACCAAAGTCCAGACCTTCAAGCAGAGAAGCAAGGATGGAGGGATGGGGCCAAAGCTCCCTGCAGGTCCTGCTCATCGTACATCACCATCCCACAGCAGGGACAACTTTAGCACCATTTATAGGCTTAGCACTGTCCTAATCCCAGGACTTGATAAATAGGTCACTGAAAAAAAAAAATTTGTCCAATACCTATTCAGTAAGTTACCTGGTCCTACCATAACCTGATACCTCCATGAACCTGTGCTTTGCCTTCATCCCTGGAATTACCCCTCACTTCCTGGCCCATTGTCAATTGGCGTGTCCCTACATCTGTCCATGATATAACCTGCCCAGTTCCTGCAGGATTGGATCCTGATTTGCTCTGACCAGTGCCCCTGGGACAGTGCCCCTGCTGGGACTTTATGACCCATTCCTGATCTCCCAATGCCAATGTCCAGCCTGGAAGTCACACATCCCCTGGTCCCAGATTTTCTGACTCTAGGTTGTAGTTGAAACCCAACCTGCCTTTTTCCCCAATGAGCCTGAAATAAACCTTTCCTAAATGTGTTTATATTTTCAATCCAAACCACCTCCTTGGGGTAATGAGTTTCATATGTTAACCAACCAATTGCATAAAGAAGGAGCTAATTTACTTGTGATTGATAGTTGCAAGGTATTTAGTCCAAATTTGAGACTAGTGGCATCTGATGCAGTATTTCCTAATGGACAGACACTTATGTATGCTACTGCAGGAAGACATAGTGGGGAGGGGCGGGTTCTGACTAATCAGTCCTTCCTTCAGTTTCAATCCTTTGCCTTTAATATGTCCTTTGCTTCAAAATTCTTCTCCATGTCAATATAACATGTCGATTTACATGTGCACCCCGCCTTGATCCAGAAAGAATTTAAAGGGACCTATCAGGCCACTGAAAATACAAGATGGTAGAAATTTAAGAAGAGATCAAAACAAAGGTAGAGACATCGTGTGAATATAGCTCAGGGATGCCATGTACAGTTTTGCAGGTTGGGCACTGTACAACTCTAGGGATCAGCATTCACTTCCATAATCAGCATAGATTTATATGTATATTGCAACAATTTTCTAGCAAATGTCTTCGGGAAAGGTGGATTTTGCTAATTCACACACATGCATACTTTGAGCCAGTGACAGGGTTGTGGGTACTTCTCTTCAGCACCCAACATACCTTGTGAAGTCATCTCTGGCAATAATATAAGGTCCTACAACGATGAGCTACCTGTGAGCCTACCTTCTCCCCATGTCCCCTTTATGCTGTCTTCTTCCCTTTTTTTAAACACACTAACCTCTCTAAATAATAATTAAAATAATGTTTATTAACATTTATTGAGTGCTTTTTATGCCTAGGCAGTATGCTAAGAAACTTTATTTATATTTTCTCATGTAATGGCAATTAAACCTAGTGAACTCCTCACTGAACAATTCAGAATGCCCAGGTTCACACAGCTAGTAGGTGCCACCAGAAATCCAGGCCTGTCTACATCAAAGTT